AGATATGGATTATAAGCAAGAAAGTGAAACCACAAAAGTTACAGTTGAGGTTTGAAGCAAATGATGTAGGGTTTTGATCGGTAATTGCATCATCACGAGAGCACAGGGAAGATGGAGACACACACTCATAAAGAAGGAAGATAGAAGCATTTCTCATTGAATAAAACAGAAGGCGAAAATGAGGTGTGATGGTTTTTGACAGGTTGAAGCCAATGCTATACTAGGAGGACATTTCAATATCATTCTTTTTGTTATTTTGGCTTTCGAAAGATTTAACAGTGTGGAAACCAATATCCAATTGACATGCCTCTTCGAACTATATATACAGATAATATGAGAAAAGAACTGAAATTTTGTTGTTCCAGACTAGCATCTCCTTGTGTATACATACAGGTCATTGCCTGTATCAAGATTCTCTTGTTACTTTGTACAGTTGGTTTTCAATGTCTTTCACTTCTTTTTGGTTCAACTTATTGTTGTATTTATAATAGATAGGTAAGTAATGTTTTAAAGATAATATACATTGACCATTTTAATGCATTATGAGTTGTGTATGTCATGAGGAATCTTGAGGACATCAAATTGATACTTGTAAGTTCTGTTGCTCAGATTCTTCAGAATTGCTGCCACATCCGTGTCGGATTCTCCAAAAATGCACTACTTTTGGAGGATCCAACACGCACATGGTGGTATTCTAGAAGAGTTCGAACATAGGTTGCAAGTGCAATTCAACATGTATTGTCAAGTTTTTGATTGTAGTAGCCTGGAAATAAGAGCATAAACTCATAATATGACGACAGAAATCAAGGTTAAACTCTTCAAGTCTTGGATCACCAGCATATATTTTTGGTCCAAGACCAAACATTTTAATCCTATTTCAATGCGAGCTTTTGTTGGACCTCATTTGGTAATTAGTGATTATCTAAAATAGTTGTTTAGTTTCATCTTTTGACATCATTTTTGGCCTAAGAGCCATTTGGTGATAACTAAGGAGTACATTCAGAGATTTCATAGAAGATGTGATAAATACAGAGTTCTCGTACAAGATGACATAAGTTCCACTAATCAGAAAAAGCAGATAAAGCTACCACCTACATAGATGTGTAGAGACACTTAAGGAACCAAGGGTAGCGCTGGAAATGCACACTAAATTCTACTTGTGAACCAGTCAACAACAAAATAAGAAAGTTCACTAAAAAAATGATGGTATTATATAAATATATCAAAATATTTTATTGAACAATGGCGACATAAAAACTTAAAGGCCGAGAACTCTACATTCTATACTGGCTACATTAAAAAGGGGATATGGGAAACATTATTCAAATACATAGGCTCTGAGTAGAAACCTAATATCAAATAATACAATTACAAGTTACTGACCTTTACACTTGTTCATGTCTTGCAAGGTACATGCCCCTTCCCTATTCAGGCAGTCGATATAAATACTAAAAGGAGCTTGCTTTTATTTATCCATCAACGATAAATTGGTCTTCTTGAGCATCATCTACAACCCTTGCATCACCGTGAACCATCCCGTTGACATGGTGCAAGTTTTGCATCATTTGTGAAAGATAATGGTTGCTAGCTCCTGTGTGATCAGAAAGCCCAGTTGGATGACCAGTCCACTGAGAAAAAATTCCAAGAAGCTGACTAGTAAGATTTTGTTGTTCGTGAAGTATCCGAGTTTGGACCTGGCTCATTTCAACTCGATGCTGACCTAACGTCTCGTCAATCCTCTTCTTCCAATCTGATCTCCTCTTGTGCATTCTTTCTTCACGTTCTCTCTCAAATATAAGATGTTCCTCTCGTCTCCTCCTCTCTCTCTCCTCACTTTCCTTCTCCATTGCTTCCCATTCTTGAATTCTCTGTCTCTGCAACTTCTCCCTTGCTTTCTCCCTTTCCTCCCTCTCTCTTTCTCTTTCTTCCCATTTTCTCTCACGTTCTTGTTCAAGTTCTATTCTAAGATGTTCTCTCCTCTGCCTCTCCCGCTCCCTCTCAGCCTCACGCTGCTCAAACCGAGCTTCCATCTCCTTTAACTGTGCCAACTGTGTTGCAAGAAAACCCCATGCCCTCTTCTCCACCCCTTTTAGTTTCTTCTTCTTTCTCGTATCAGATCCAGTTGGCTCGATGTCTTCGTAAACAAATCCACTATCCGCATCTTCCTTCAAATGATTGTTCCTCCTGATACTACCATTGAAATTCTCCTCTCCTTCTTCTCCATCATAATCAAACTCCATACCTGTAACACCATGATCAACCCCATTAATAACTCCAGTAAAATCACCGTCCCCAGCATGACCTAGATGCCCAAATTGATCAATCCCCATACCATTACCACTCCCATCAAATCCTCCACTATTTTCATTTCCATCTCCTACAACCGCCATGGAGTCGCTACAATTGAAGACAAGCATATTGACATCCCCAAACACTTCCTTATACCTTAAAAAGTTCGACCAATGAGATAGCCCCTCCATCCAATCGAACTCCTCCCCAGCACCCGACTCCTCCCCAGAGTTTGGCTTCTTAATCTTCTGCTTCACCAGTGTATACTGATGCCTCATGTTCTGCACTTTAGTGGACACATCCTTCCAAGTCCATTGCCATGGATACGTGATCGGATCACGAACATGGTGCACAGAATTCACATGTAAAGCTATAGGTCTATACTTCTTTTCCCTAGTTTTCATTTTAGCTAAAGTCCCATCACATAACATCTCACCATACTTATCAATTAGAGTTCTTTCTTCTGCCTCAGTCCACTTTTTCCTTCTAGGTTGTGGCATCATCAAATAAACCTAACTCCACTACTCAAACCAACAAACTACAAGCAGCTCAAGAATCACATATACAACAGCTCAAACACCCAAAACCCCAAATTTCAGCTCTTTACCATAAATCCAAATAAAATCAATCAACACTACAAATAACCCAAAATTTGTCCAAGAAAAGCTAATGGGTATACCAAAGATCACTCCTTTTCTCAACCAACAAACTTTTTCCTTCTTGGTAGTGGCATCGTCAAACTAACCTTAACTCCACTACTCAAACCAACAAACTCTAAGCAGCTCAAGAATCACATCCACAACAACTCAAATACCCAAAACCCCAAATTTCAGCTCTTCACCACAAATCCAAATAAAATCAATCAACACTACAAATAACCCAAAATTTGTCCAAAAAAAGCTAATGGGTACCCCAAAGATCACTCCTTTTCTCAACCAACAAACTTTTTCCTTCTTGGTAGTGGCATCATCAAACAAAACTAACTCCACTACTCAAATAAAAAAACTCTAAGCAGCTCAAGAATCACATCCACAACAACTCAATTACCCAAAACCCCAAATTTCAGCTCTTCACCACAAATCCAAATAAAATCAATCAAATAACCCAAAATTTGTCCAAGAAAAGCTAATGGGTATACTAAAAATCACTCCTTTTCTCAACCAACATACTTTCATCAAATAAAACTAACTCCACTACTCAAACCAACAAACCCCAAGCAGCTCAAGAATCACATACACAACAACTCAAATACCTCAAACCCAAATTTCAGCTCTTTACCACAAATCCAAATAAAATCAATCAACACTACAAATAACTCAAAATTTGTCCAAGAAAAGCTAAAGGGTATACCCAAAATCACAACTTTTTAGCAAATACCCATATAAAATCAAGAAAGAATATTGACATAGCCCATATATATATCAAAAAACTGACCTTTAGACCAATAATAGGTTTCTTGAATTGGGAAAAGTAAAGCAGTGAGATAAAGGGGAAATTTTTTTGTGGAGAAATTTGAAGTGAGATGAAAGGGACAAAAATGGAAATTGAGTTTTTAAGGTTTTGATTGTGGGGATTGATTTCTGCAGTTAGTAGTTCAACTGTGTCAAAATCATTTCTCTCTTTGCTGTTCAATGAGCAGAGATCAGTTTACAAAAGATTCCAAGGAGCTGAAGAGGAATCACATAGTGATTAGTGAATGACTTTATTACCCTTATAGTATTTTATTTTTATTTATTTTGATCTTTTTAAATTATTATTTTTTTTAACAATTACTACTTTTTTGGTGGCTGGGAATTTTTTATAACTGCATTTGATGTTAACTTTTTTTAAAAAAATTTAGAACTTCAGATTCTGAATTAATAAAATCATTTTTGTTAAGACAAAAATAAAAAGTCTTGTAAGGAATTGTTGTCTAGTGATATGGTAGTGAATTCGTTTTCGAGCCTTTTATATATATATATATATTGTCGGTCTCACTATGAAGATAAGTATAGGTTTAAAAAATAATCTCGAATTTATTTCGGGACATGATGAGTTAATTTATAGACAAATCTTATTTTTAATTTTATATCAAGAGTTAATTACATATTGTTTATTGAAAAATGAATAGGAAATGTTTAATTCCAATTACACCAACCCGAAAAGCAATAGAAAAGAACTTAAACATGAAAAAAAAATAGTATAGGTTTATCAAATATCTATCCGATCGTGAAAAAGAATCAATTAAAAATAAATAAATTTATAATTCATTTTATGTCAAGCAATACATAAAGTAACTTCTTATATGAAAACAAAACCAAAACATGTGAGTGATCGACTCATCTTCAACAAATAAATTGTTTGCCAACACACGCAATGTGATTATATATCATGTTTCAATGCTTCCAAACATTTGGGATCATAATTTCAATTCACGAGTTCGAAAGCAATAAAAAAGAAAGAACTAAAACATGAAGTAACTTTTGATGTAACAGTAAAAACAAGATATATAAGTAGATCGACTCATCTTTATCAAGTAAATCGCTTGCCAACACACACATGGTGTTTATATATAATGTTTCAACAATTAAAACTAGGAAAATAGCTTCCAAACATTTAGGGATCATAATTCCAATCCCACAAACTCGAAAAGCAATAGAAAAAGAAAGAACAAAAACATAAAGTAACTTTTGATATAACAGTAAAAACAAGACATATAGATGGATCGACTCATCATCAAGTTCCCACTTAACGCATCATTCCGCCGCCACTTGACATCATCCTAATATTAGACATTCCACCTTTACCATCAGCATTAGCAGGTGAATTAGCAAAATGTTTAGCAATTTCAGGATTTTCTTCCATAATCTTCTTGATTTGATCTTGATTTTGTATCTCATCACTTGTTGGTAATCCTTTTTGCTTTTGTTTTTGATCAAACATCATTTTTTCAACTGCTGATCTTGTTTCTAAGTCCAATTCTGATAGCCTACTTGGCTCTGGCTCAGCTTTTTGTGTGTCAATTTCAGGGCTATTTTTGAACAAACTTTTCCACCAATCAGATTGATTCCTTTTAGTCATGAGAATTGTTACTTGTTTTTGATCTTCTAAACTCCAAAAACATTCATCACCTTTCACAGGCTCCAATAGTTCACCTTGTTAGCAAAATAAACCGTTTTAAAGAGATATTACTCGTATATTGTTTCGAGAAATACAAAGTTATTGCATAGTGCAAGTAAATTTGTCTAGAGTATATAAATAATCAGTTTAACTCGATAGGAAGTACAAACATATATATGAAAAAAAAATCAACCTAAATAGTTGGTCACCTAGCTGCTTAAACTAAAAGTAGACAACATATGTATAATATATGTATAATGCACATATAACTTTTGTATAATTTATGTATATGATTTTAAAAAATAGTAAATCTGACTAGTTATTTGTGAAAAAAATCCTAACCTAAAAAGATTCAGAACTCATTTGTACCTTAGAAAATGTGACAATCCCATTTCATGTCTATCCGGTGGTGGATTTAGTTTAAAAAGTTATGAATTGATCTGATCGCAATGTTTTGACACGAAACTTAGATACATACGTTAAAAATTACTGATTTTAATAAATATTAAATTCTGAATCTGATTCTCCTATTTATGTATATAAACAAAATTATCTAATTACACACCTTCAACAATTGGTGGTTGATTCTTGAGTCCAACTTTGATGGAATTGTTCTTGATATCCACAGCTAAAAATCTTGATTTTGTGCCAAATGGCACTGTGACATTAATAGTAACATCTTGAAGAGTTTGTCCCCATGTGTAATTTTCCATATCAAGACCATTAAATTGATTTGGCTTTAATTTCTTATTTTCTTCTTTTTTTTCATCTAAAGAAGAAGAAGAAGTGTTAATTGATTCTTGATTTTCATTTTCTTTAATTTCTTCTTGTTTTTCTTCTTCAACAACCTTTTTGGCTTGTGATTGATTTTCACCTTCAGTATAGTCTGAAAGAATTGCCATTTTTTTTAAGTAAATTAAAAGAGGAAAAAAATTAGTGAATTGGTGTGTTAATTAAAAAAAAAGGAGTGTATTTATAGTAAATTATTAGAGAAAGAAAAGGAAATCTGAGTGTTAATAACAACAACATACCGTGAGACTCGTTATTGATTGAATTATAGCTTAAAAACATTGTGTTAATTCCGGTCTCTTTTATTACCATTTTTCAGAAGAAAGATATAAAAAATAAAAGTAAAAACAATTAAAAAAAACTATGATATATGATCTATTTGAATTAAAATTCGAAATTTTGTATCCTTAGTGTAGTATTAATTATTCCCTTTATCTTAGTCCTACAAAAGTTAGATTGAATACTCTTCATCATCGTGAACTATAGTAAGATAAATATAATTTTTTAATTCTTAAGACGTTATATTTAGGGCTTGAGCCACGGAAAAACATATTATTATTTTTTCAATAACAATCCTTCTTCTTTAAAATGTCATGTGACGCAAATTCAAATTAATAAGGATTTTAATATAAATATCGGACATTGAATGATAAGAAAAAGAAAAAAAAAGTCTCCCAGCTTATTTCTTACAATATTGTGGGAATTAAACATAATTTTCCCTGTTTATTATTGATTTTTCATTTTTCATTTAATATTTAATATTCGTATAAAAAAAACGATTAATCCCAATTCCTGTAAGACATTTTTAAGGGAAGGACCATTATCTTAGGGGAATATCTATATATCTAGGACTTGAACTGAGTCTTATAATTATTTAAAAAAATAGAGTAATTTTAATTTATCTATTTGATCACTACACCCCTCATTCGGTTAAGATTAAGGGATAGCATTATCTAACAAAAATATTTATTCATGTAGGACTCGAACAACGTCTGATACTGACGAGAGGGAGTTGTTCGGATGGTAAGCACCCCTCACTTCCAACCCAAAGATTGCAAGTTCAAATCACCAACGGAGCAAATGGGGTGGGAGCTCCTAGGGAGGGTTAATAATAATAAAAACAAACAACTTCTTATAATTAAAAAATAGAGTAATTTTAATTTATCTATTTGATCACTACACCCCTCATTCGGTTAAGATTAAGGGATAGCATTATCTAACAAAAATATTTATTCATGTAGGACTCGAACAACGTCTGATACTGACGAGAGGGAGTTGTTCGGATGGTAAGCACCCCTCACTTCCAACCCAAAGATTGCAAGTTCAAATCACCAACGGAGCAAATGGGGTGGGAGCTCCTAGGGAGGGTTAATAATAATAAAAACAAACAACTTCTTATAATTAAAAAATAGAGTAATTTTATCTATTCCACTACACCTCGACTTTGGTTAACTAGTAACATAAAAAAAGAGTTACCTTAAAGCATTAATTAGTTAGGAAAAGAAGTCATGAGTCGGTTTACTAGGAAAAGTATAATACTTACCTTTTTTTCGTACATAAAATTTAATTCACACTAAATTTTTCTTTTTCTTTCCTTTTACAATTCGAAATTCTAGAAAATAAATAATAATTAGGAAAAAAAGGTTATTTAGTCGGTTAATAATACTTTTAAGGACTTTAATTTCCAACTACACTAAGGATTCTAATTCTTAACAAAAACGGATTTTATTTTATTTTCCCTATATATACCCCCAATTATTCTCCCAAAATTCTCACATCAATTCACATAATTTTCTCTTCTACTTGTGATAAAAAATTGTTTAATATTTTTTTCAAGAATGGCAATTCTTTCAGATTATCAAGAAGAAAATCAAGAACAACCCATGGAGATTATTGAGAAAGAACAAGAAAATTCTTCTACTTTAGCCCCTAAAGAAGAAGAAAATTCACCTTCAACCCCAAAAGAAGAGAAACTAAAGCCAAATAAGTCCAATGGACTTGATATGGAGAATTATTCATGGGGACAATCTCTTCAAGAAGTTACCATCAATGTCCCAGTTCCTCCAGGTATATAATAATTTAATTTATTTTGTGTTTTATAAGGCGAAAAGAAATTTTTCTCACTATATATAAATTGTTGAATCCCTTTAATATGTTTAGGGGTTGCTTTAGATAGCTTATTTAAAATTCGAAGCGTAACGTTCAATAAATCCCTTTATATGAATTCTTGATTTCAATAATCGAATTCCTCTAATGAAATTAAAAGGGTCGAGTTCAAAAATATGTTTTAGATCACATGTTTGAATTTCAATCGTGACAATCTATTAATTTTCAAATCCTTTTACATAGATTATTGATTTTGTTATTGCCATATACAATAAAGTATTTGAACGTCCTTAATGAAATTTCTGATTTTATTTATTTTTTTACCTCAGGTACAAAATCAAGATTCATAATTGTGGAATTCAAGTCCAATACTCTCAAAGTTGGACTAAAAAACCAACCACTAATATTAGATGGTGAATACTTCAAGGGAGTTAAAGTTGATGAATGTTATTGGAGTTTAGAAGATCAAAAGGAAATTTCAATTCTTTTAACAAAACAAAACAAATCTGATTGGTGGAAAAGTTTATTCAAAGGTGGACAAGAAATTGACACACAAAAAGTGGAACCAGAACCAAGTAAATTGTCTGATTTGGACACAGAAACAAGAGCAGCAGTTGAAAAAATGATGTTTGATCAAAGACAAAAACAAATGGGACTTCCATCAAGTGAGGAGATTAAGAATCAAGATATGCTTAAACAATTTATGGAACAAAATCCTGATATGGCTAAGAATTTTGGTAATGCTAAGATGATGATGCCAAATTCTAGGATGATGGGCTAGTTGCATTTTTTTTTTTTAGATTTTGATTTTTTTTAATATTATAGTATTTTAGAGATTTAAGTTATTGTTGGGTTTTTTTTTGGATTTTATGAGGATTTTTTTGTTTGGTTAATGTCTTTTGGTTTTTTTTAATTAATTATGATGTTTGGATTGATTTGTGCGGTATTTTAAATATTTACTCGTTGATATTCTATTTGTTGAGATATTTATCCTTGCACTGGATCGTAGTGAGAAGGCCATGATAAAATTGTCATTGTTATTCCGTATGATTTAATTTTGAAAAAAATACATGATTAAGTAAACATATACTAGTTAATTAGTCATTATAGCTATAGTTTTAGTTAATTACCACTCGCAATCAATATTCAATGATAATTACCTTGGCTGGGGTTTTGAATTTGTATAATTCACATGTTTGTATAATTCGAAATTCTTCGAAATTCGTATGATATAATTTGTATAATTTTTGTACAATGTAATTTGTATAGTATTTCGTTATTTAAGACCTTGCCTTCTTTATATGGGGATGTTTTCGGAGGATGCGAGAATTCCAGTGTCTAAACTGATAAGTTTATGGATAGCGGGAAGTCTCATGAAGAACATTGAGTCTGGGAGGTTGGAAGAGGCAGCTGAAGAATACTTGATCGATCTCATTAGAAGTAACATGGTAATGGTTTCAAGGACAAGATATAATGGTAAAGTTAATTTGAAAATAGTTAATTAATCTAATTTAGTTTAGCTTTGAAAATTTGTCCCAATTTTGATTCTCAATCTGTGTTGACTGTATCATGCGCTTCTAATTTCAGGTTCCATTTCTATGGACACGACAAGTCGAGGTGCACCACTTCTAAGATTAGGATTATATTACAACTAGCTATAGTTTTAGTTAATTACCACTCGCAATCAATATTCAATGATAATTACCTTGGCTGGGGTTTTGAATTTGTATAATTCACATGTTTGTATAATTCGAAATTCTTCGAAATTCGTATGATATAATTTGTATAATTTTTGTACAATGTAATTTGTATAGTATTTCGTTATTTCGGGTTTATACAAAAATAACTCAATTATACAAACATACCAGCTTAAATTGTAGCTATAGCACATAAATATGCAAACTATAGCTATGAAGCATAATTAAGTTTATTATAATGGTTATTTGCAAAAATTCTCCGATTTTATAACCCATTAGTTTTTTCTTCAGCTAATGGTCAAACAAAAAAATAATTAGGGTTAACGTATTATTATTATGGACCTAAATTATATACACTTACTGTTATAATTCTTTGTATTCTTTTAAAATATTTTAATTAAATACAAATTAATTTGATGATATAAAAATATTGTACAATTAATGTCAATTCAAAATTATTCTTAAACTCAATATCTATATTTTCCAACATGCGGTACTTTTATGCTTACATTATTCTTCTTATTAAAAGTAAAAAAAGGTAAATTATTCGTCATTCCTTTTCTATTAAAATGTAAAAATAGAAATATGATCCTTTACAATCCTTCATAATCCACAAAGAATATTTATACGTATACACAACATATATAGATTAAATCGTGAATCAAGTTGTATATTGATTGATTCGATTCAATTTTAAAGTTTATTAAGGCTAAAGTAGTGTTATAGAAACATTAGACACATAAAGATGAAGCAAAATAACAAGAGTAATTTAGTATCATATTATTATAGAATTTCATATGCATGATTATGAACATGCTACATCCTTCATCGATGTTTATTAACTAAGGATTATTTGACATATATTGCATCGTGTTACGTGCCATATATTTAATCGGTTTATTTGCAATTTTTCTAAATGAGTAATGAGTACTATCCCATTTGAACATCACACATTTGTCTTCAACCAACAAGCACAATCCATCTTCACGTATGCTCCACTCACAATCTCCATCAGTAGTGTGACAAGTTTTCTTGTCATTGGAGTCAAACAACATGAAAACTCCATGTTTTTCACGTAATGTCATCTCACAAGAAACGGTATTATTTCCTTTGGGATTAAAGGATGGTGACATTTGATAAGACACTCCTGATTCCATCGGAGTATCTATCTTAGGTTTTCCATCTACAGAACAACTTGTGTTTACTGTATCTTTAGTTTCATTAGTCACTATAACAACAAAATATTCTAGTGAATTGATAAATGATGAAAAACTAAGTAGGAAAAAGCAAAATACTAAGTGATATTGTGA